GCACTGAAACCATGAGGCTTGTGAGTTTTGGGCAAGGGCTAGAGCGAAATAAGTAGTGTAATTGTTTTTGTGGCGTGAACGTGGGACCTCCTCTGTTCTGAATTACGTGTGGCTCAACCCTTGACCTAACCAGGCTCGGCAGTGCTGGCCAAGCTCCTACAGCTGTGCTGAAGGGGTCATCGCCGAGCAGGCTGGAATGTTATCTGTCAGGTAAGACGTGGGCAACAGCAATATTCAGTTCTATTCACAGCTGGCGAGACGAAGTTGTGAGCACCTCAACTTCATTTAACCCACATCAGATCAGCAGGATCTGCCAAGGAGGGGGATTTTTTAAAATCCAAACATAGCATGGTTCTTTGCTAAACACACTTTTGTTTTTTTATTTTCTGTTACTTTAATAAATCTTGAGGCATCTTCAGGACTATAGTGCTTAATTATCCAAATGCTCTTATGATGATTTTTTTTTTGAGCACAAATAAGGTTTGGGGAATATTAGGAGCCATGATTAATGTTCTTTGCTCTTAATGAGCTTCATTTAAATTCTTTAAAAATAGACATGGACATGGACATGGACATAATTTTCAGAGTAATCAGAGCTAAGGTGGATACAGAGAGCTTTAGGAGAGGTGAGAGGGAGGAGCAGGCGCTCAGGTTTCTGCAGTGGTGGGGAATTCATTCCGTGAGTCACACAACGATAGTCGAATAAATTTCTCTCTGTGTTTCTAGGTATAAATTCAAAGTTGATATATTTGAATTCTAATTTAACCTCCATAAGTTAGTTATTGAAGGCAACATAGGCAGGAAACTGGATGTTTATGTTGAGGCATTTGACATTATTTTCCAAACTTCTCTTTTTGAAATATGCCTAAAATTACTTAATTTTTCTTTCATTGCTCATTTTACAAGTAAAAGTCTCCATGGATATTTTACACTTATGGCAGCTTGGATATTATTTAGAATTAAATTTTTTCTCATCTGAGGCAACTCAGGCTGAATATTAATTCAGTTCTTAGTTACATGGCATTTAACCATTTATTTAAAAAGTACCCAACTTCCTATTTTTTGAGTTATACTCTCTTACTGCAGGGACTCTAAAACACGAAAATAGGCAGGTCTCTTATCAAGACAGTTAGAAATGAATAAAAAATTATGAAAAACATCTCCTGACCTCCTCACCCAGCAAAACTGCATCCAGTCCTCCCAGGCTTGTTTTCGTTAAGTGGTGGAGAGGTTGCTCTTCATGTAATCTAACATGGAATGCTTGGAGCAGACAGGTGCAAATTGCAAGCTGTTTCACTTTGGCTGTTATCCCTTAAATCGACAAAGTAATGGGCTGGGAGAACAAAAAGGGTTCCAGCTCAGGCTGCATAAATGAAAGTCTAAATAGGGACACACCAGCTGGCTCAGAGAACTCAATGTAGTGAATGCTAAATATTACCTCCGCGCCACTTGCCAAGGAAAAAGGGCTTCCATGACGCCCCCTCTCTTTTATTACTGACATGATGTACCTTCAGAAGCCTATTCTGCTTGATTGTAAAGGCGACAGTGTGGACAAGGTAGACAAGAACAGAAGCCAACATACCTGTTCCTGTTTGCCATCATTACACTCCTCCGAGCGATCCAGGCATGATTAGCTTCTTGGAGTTGGACCAGATTGACAGTATTTCTGTCCATGTCTTTTTTTTTGTGGCTGATCCAAGCAAAGCCCAGTGTAGTAAAGCAACAAAGTGATCACCACCACCCCTACCTTCCCAACAAGAGGAGTCTGCTGGGCTAGTCTGCCAACAAACAAACAAACAAACAAAAACCAGTTGTTCACATTAGGAACCCCTAATTTCATTTCATGGAAGAGGCACGCCAGGCCAGTATGTGTAGGAATCTAAGGTCTGCGTTTGGGAACAGGGAGTCTAACGCTGGCATTGCAGAGTTGCTGCTCTGTATGACTTCCCAGCATGCACTACAACTATTGTCTGTGAGCAAGAACTTTAGCCTGAGCTCTGCTAGGCTGATGAGGTTTGAGTGTGTGATCTGCCTGGGCAGAAAAGAGGAGGGAGACAGCTCGAGCCGGCCTTGTTTACAGCTGGACAGAAGGCAACAGCAAGACACAAATGAGGACTGACGGTTTCATGAAGCACAACTGCTTGAGCCCAGATGCAATCTGACTGCCCTGAACTGAGCGATGATCCGTACAGTATGCAGCATTCACTCCGGTGCTGGTCTGTGCCCACCAGCCTTGGAGAGACTTCCCCTCGCCCTTCAGCCAGGGCTTTGAGTGCAACCAGAGCTGAGCCGCAGCACCGGGGACCCGATTCCTTCTGACAGCGATCACATTCTTTTAAAAACTTCTTGGGTTTGGATTGTCACTGGTTATAAATGAGTTTGTTGTTGTGAGCCTTTGCTACTCTCTCATGGATTTCCTTGCAACCTGGGAGCGTCGGCTTCGGAAGATATTCATTGCTTTTAATGAAAACACTGTTTTTAAAATTTCATTTTTTTTTCTCTCTGTTTAAATTGCAAAGTCTTGCTTTCTTCCGCATTATATAATACATCTGATAGAGTGACCTTTCTAAAATCTGTTAAAAAACTGACTTATCACAACGTAAACAGACACATAAAAGAAATGTATTATCTTTCCGTTAGACAAGATGAATAAGTTTTAGAGATAGGATGCACAATGGTGAATATATAATTACTCTGTAGTGTGTCCACTTAAAAAACAGTGTATCTTATGTTATTTGTTCATATGACAGTAAAAAAGCTTCATAATATGATATGAGAAACTGCTTACCTTGATTTGATTTAGTACTTTGCATTATTCTATCAGCTAAATTAGAAACATGATGGGGAAAAGCCGCAGGGCATATCCAGAGTAGATTTAGTTCAGGTTTCTAGATATTTTGCTTATCTTCAAAACTGAATATATATCAGTGAGAAGCAGGAAGATGCTAGTGACTAAATTTTGTTTCTTTAATTTAATTTTTGTAATATGATATAGATTATTTAATAGGTTAATGTAAACTAATTGAAATGATGCCATTTGCATAAATGCACTAACATAGCTGGTAATAAGTGAGCTGATGTGAAATATGACGGGGGGGATTGTGTTCTGTGAGCTAGAGATAAAATCTCATCAGGAAAGAGAGAATCTAAACTGAGAAGGGGGTGGAGGAAAATCCAATTTACACTGCTTAAAGGTGCCCATATGTAAAGGGGAGAAAAGCTGAGGAGATTGGTGGAGAGAAGCCAGAAATCCCTGCTAATTTCCTCTTGAACATGTGTTAGCAGTAAAGAGGTCAGGAATCCAAGCCACGGCGTGGGGATCCCCTCAGAGGACCCATCTCTGGTGCGTACGCAGACCTGGCTTCCTTTACAATACGTGAACTTGTGAAAGTACCTTCAAGACCTTTATAACTTCAGAGAGCAAGTCTATAATTTCATTTGAAGTCCTTAGTAAGGAAATGAGGGCTATTAATAGGCTACATCCATCTATTTAAGCGCATTTAACTCGATCTGAAAGGGCCAAAGTGTCAAAATTACCGAACCATGTCAAGAAAACTAATATCTGCTGTTACCCCAGACGAAGACTGTGAAAAAAACAATCACACTTCAACCTCTTTCTTAATAAAATGTCAGAACCTTTAGGGCAGATGCGGACTACTGTTTTTAAGAGTTTATTGAGTTTTTAATGAAGGTCCTTGGTATCTTTTACATTAAAATTTAGGGATCATGTCAATTTGTGTAATTTCTCTTATACCTGACATATTAATGTATTAGTAGCTAAGTAACTTCTAGGGTCTAATTAGATGCTGAGACAACTTCCTGGGTGTTATTTATACTTTCTAACTAGCGTGGTTCTGAGTGATGCACCTTTCTGCTTCAGCTCGGGATATAAAATGGAATAAGAGAATTTCAGAATTCTTCAGCCAAGGAGGAAAAATATTTGAACAATTATTGAACTTTTCTCTAAAATAAGTTTTTCTGTGCCTTTTCTTTAAAGGAAGAGCTTGAAATATTAGTTAATTTTGATGTTCTTGTAATTGTTACTTACCCATTCAGGTAGATCTCTTATCCCTACCTTTTAGGCAAAAAGTCAAAGAATGTTTGAGTATATTTTCTCTAAAAGTTCAGTGACAACAGTATGTCTAATGCATGTCCTCTAAATATTTAGTTTGTTTCAAGAATGAGATTTCCAGGAAAACAGGCCCTGCATTTTGTTTGGTGATATGAAATATGTGTTGATCAATTTTTAACTTGTTTTATGATATTATGCTCTTTATGTGATTTATGATATTATGATTTAATCACTTCATGTTAAAGAATAATAAAAGAATAATTGAAAGAAGTTAGGTTTATTATAAGCATTTGAACTAAAAACGGGAATTTTAGTTCCTGCTTTAGGGTTTCAGATTGAACGAGGCGTTTTGTTATTCTGAATCTGGTCATTAAGAATGTTGTTAAATTAGTTGTTTGACAGGGATCTCTGATTACATGAACGCTGTGGTTTGCTGATTTCTACAGACTTTATTTTGCTTGATGTTTTAGTTTTGTTAACATGAATTTTATAATTCAGTTGGAGTCTGGGCATTTCTACTACAGATAGTTTTTTTTCTTTTTTATTAATTTAGTCTGAAGGTTACCAAGTAGTCATTTGGAACTTGTAAGAGCCTGCACACTCTAATAATATTTCGGGGTATTCATTTTCATTTTCTAATATTAATATAAATGGGTTTTCCAGTCCTGAAATGAATTCTGGTTTTCTGTGGTGTGGCACCTTATGAAATCTTTGTGAGTCCCACAGAGTAGGACTCTTGGCATTTCACATTATTATATCTGGTAGTGGAATTTAAGAAGATTGGATCATAGATAGCTCTGATTAGATTTAAATAAATAATCAGTTCACATACTGAACAGTAGCAGTTTGAAACAAATACAGACACAGGCAACCGCAAATGCACAACACACACGTTTTTTACAAGATAATTCTATTTTATTAAAACGAAATGGCTTCACAGCGCTGTCTAAATGGATGCAAATTGACCAATACAAATTTCTCAGTGCAAGTTTTCCAGTGTTCTTAATTTGTTGAGGTTCTTTGTATTAATTAAAAATGATAAAAACAAAGTATTTTAATGTGACCTTCATTTGGCATTTGTATTAACTTTTCTTATCCTATTTTATTTAATTCTTCCACTTCTGATGTTCAATTAGTATTTGACCCCTTTAGGAGAGATGTAAATTAAATGACATTTCAGTGCCATTCCATATTTAAAACACTGTGTTAGTTGTGGATCATAAATGATGATCTTCATTCTTTAGCTAATTTATTCATTTAACAATTTCCCTCCAGAAGTTCCAGCAGAAGGCTCTGAAGCAAACTAAGCAGAAGAAATCCAAGTCGGCTGAATTTCTGATGGGTGAGCCTTGCTTGATGAGTTATTGCTCATAATTTGTGTAAGGATTAATTAACTAATTACAGACAAATGGCTGTGGGCGAAATTTTGCTCTTGCTTGTCAGGGTGCAATTTGTAATTATTTTAATCATTTATTCTTTTTTTTTAAGAGTTAATTTTAACCTAATTCTGTTTTGGTGACATTTGAGGACGATACACTTGAGTCTTTCTGCACAGGAATTACTGGAAGGAATTTTCCTCTTGTCACTGGAATCTACTTTGCTTTAGTATGATCTTCTGACCTCTTTGTTTTGCTCTAGTTAAAGAAGATAGAGAAGCTATAGAAGGCTTTGGAAATCCAGCTTTTAGCATGAGCAACCCAGACCTCTCAGCACATCAGACTTCAGAAGAGAAAATCATTAGACATGACACACCGGATCGCATCCTTGCAGCTCACCAACAAAAATCCAGGCTGCCAGTCTCTGCAGAGCTAAAAGGTGTGACTTCAGTTCTGATTATCTTCATACTCTGTGACAGTTGCTGCCTTGCTGATCTAACCTGGGCACCCTGGAACAGGCGCTATATGTTCCATTCCAGGTGTCTGCATGGGCTTCCTGGAGAGGTTTTGGATGGAACTCAACTGGGGACACTTAGGATCTTCTTTAGCATTGGTATGCAAGCCATAATCTCATATGTGAACCACCTTTGCTTCGAGAGGCTGGGATGGAATGGGTTCAGTCTGTCAGGTTGTTAACACTTGAACTGGGGTTCAGATGGGGGATTAAATGTCAATGCTACCATTTAAAGGATGCTCCTCAGCTAATGCATGCATAGATTACGCCTGCACTCTGGGCTTCAGACCCTAATGCTTTCCGCCTTCAGAGGAAGCCATGTTTTCTCTGAGTTTAGACACCCTCGCAAGAGCGTAAGAATCAATGCAGAAAGCATATGTTAGTTTTTAGAATTTCTCTGCAAAAATTTCTCTAGAAGAACTAGCTTCCTTGATTCCTTTGGCCTGGGGATGTCTCTGAGAGTTAACTGTGCGAAGGATACTCCCTAAGTAGGGAATACTCGCTGCATCCTCCTGCGGAGAGACACAGCTCTTCTAAGTGCTGACCTGGTTGCTGCCCAGCAGCTAAGTCTACACCAATAACCAAGGAGTCACTAAAACTTGCTGTCCTCGCTCTTATCTTCATCATTGAATGGGATGAAAGGCATCCAAATTCAGTGGTGAGATAGCTGTTGGAGCTGGAACCGTCTGAAGTAATGAAGCGTGAGCTGGCACAGATGTGCCCTGTGCTGGTCCCACTTAGCAGCACATCCTGATTTCCACCTGTGCAGAACAAGTAGTTCAGATCCCAGTGGGTTATCATGGGATGCAGAGCGGTTAGTTTGTAATTTTTAATTTCTGAGGCTCAGGGGAAAATTGCACCAGCCTGTAGACTTCTACATTCCACATTGTATCGTGCTTGCTGTCATCAGTAGAATCATCATGGCTCGTACTGCTCTTTTCCTATGCTTGCACGGGCCATCTGTGGCCCGTTATCATAGTGATATTAGCTCCCATTCCTGAGTGCTCATTATATGTTAATCAGATAGTAAGCAATTTATGTGTAGCATCTCCTTTCTCTCCATACTTCCTCTATGGCCTTTTTAAACTCCATACTCCTTTGGAGTGATGTATCGGGGTGCAAATTCAGTTAATGTAATAAGGGCCGTGCTGACAGTGGCTTAGATGCACCCTCGTGCCTTTGTAGCTTGTTACTGCCTCATGGTCCCTAAGCTGTTCTCGTCAGCATGGCTCATGATGACTTGACACCACTTCCCTGTTCTAAGTAAGCCCCAGGAACAAAGAAGAAGGCATCACGCAGGAGGCTCGATTCACCATTTTCATTCATACACTTTGACTGGAAGCCAGTCACAGGCAGCTACCGAAAGAGAGGATGAGATGGTGTCCTTACCTGGGAGCCAGATTTCAAGGGAAAAGTGGAGGGCTTTCGTTATTAAAGAAGAGCATGGGTACGGGGTTCAACTACTAGACAGGGCCTCAGGTACATTTGATTATTATCCTCTACATCTTGTCGATCAGGGAATCAAACTTGTAACTTGACTCAGGTAAGGAAAACAATGAAAACTAACAGGAGAGATTTAAGCTTATTTGACCCCATGGCCTGTATTTGTGTCTGTGTTCTTGGCCCGTGGCTTGGGGGAGATCTCAGTAGTTAAAGGGACGGGACGTTGGAGAAGAGAATCCACATACCATCTATTGTGGTTGTCTGACAGGTTCAGAATTAAACTGCAGAGCCAGGTCAGACGTCCAAGTCAGCAAGCCCTGGCATAAAGGACTGAGGGGAAAGGAACAGGCAGAGAGAGTTATGGTCCTTGGCAGACAGCAGACTTCTCAGCCAAGTTGACTCTGAGGGCAAATTTCTGGTGTCATCAGCTCGAAAGCAGGTTTAGATGTTTAGTTGTTGTACTGTTAATCAGCTCTCTGTTACTGTGACACATTCCTGAGATGATCAGTAGAGAGAAGGAAAGGGTTTCCCGACACGTGGTTTCAGTTCAGGGTCCCCCGGCTCCTGTTGCTCTGAATATGTGGCATGTCGTGGTGGGAGGGTCTGGGGAAAGTGATCTGTCTAGGGCGTGGCCGCTGGGGAACAAAGGCAATGGGAAAGGGCCATGGGCTCATCCTTGAGTGCACACTCCCATAACCTGGCTTCCTCCCCCGAGGCTCTGCTTCCTGAAGGTCTCATCATGGCCAATACTGTTCCAGCTGCTGCTGAAGTCCTTAGTGCCTGGGTCATTTCCAATCCCAGCTACAGCAGTTCCTTGAAAGGAAATTGGGCTTCCTGTTAAGGTAGAGTATGTTGCAGTGACGTCAACGAGAGTGACATGTCCTCTGGCCCAGTAAGGCATGAAGCAGGCTTGCTTCACAAATTTATGTTCTGCAGAAGTGATCAGATTTCTTCGACTCATATTCTTACTATCTGGAGACAAAAAAGGCTCAGAAACCTTGTAAAAACCTTTAAGCTGTACACTTAATAACAGATGTTCAAAGCTAGGGCATCATTGGGCGGCTTAGCTGTTTTAAGCTCAATGGAATAAGGAAAATAAGGACACTGACAGTGTGTTAGGTGTTGAGGGACCTCTTAGGGTAGAACGAAGTCCCTATTAGTGGTATCTATCTAATAGATACTAAGTACTATCTAAAAGAAATGCAATCTGAGCCATATATGTAATTTTAAATTTTCTAACAGCTACCTTAACAAAATTAAAAAGAAATAAGTGAATTACTTTTAATAATATATTTTGTGTATATCAATATCTCTAGAATAACTTCATTTCAGCTTGTAATAAATGTAAACAGGTAGAGATTTAATGATTCTTTTGTACAGTGTTTGAAATCCATTGTATGTATCATTGTAAACCTCAGTGCAAGCTAGCTACATTTCCAGTTCTGTGGGCATTCTTCGTGGGTTTAGTCCCTATGTCTGAGAGATAACTCAGAAGGTAATCATTTTCATGAGGAATACTTGATCTGATTCTGGAAAATGGGCAGAAAAAGTGTAACCCCAAAATATAGCACAGTGGAAAAAAAGCAAAGAGAAAGTGTTTTAAGTGAAAAAAAATTAAAGGGAATAGGTGTCATCCTTACAAATGCAGCCAGACATGGCTCATAAGAAAGGACTGTACCATCTCCACTGTAACACACAGCTAACTGTGAGAAGTATTTATTTCACTGATCTTTAGCCCCTTCCAGCCTTGTGGAGAGCCCCAAAACACTCAATTACAAATGAGATGTGCAATCTTATGTTCTGTGAGCAAGAATCTTTTAAACATGTGAATTTAGAAAATGCTACATATTACAGTACACAATGTTTCTTGTTAATGTAACTTAAATGGTGTATAGTGTCTGGTAATAGGCTTACTCAGATAAATTAGAATAGTTTTCTCTGTGGTACTTTTCCAGTTAACACAAATGCTGTTCTTACAAATAGATACCATATATTTCCCCAGTTGAGACACTTTTTAAAGGAAAACATTGGAAATAATGGAAAAGTTCCAGTACTACATTTCTAAATTATCTTAAGGGCATAAAAAATTATTAGATAAATAGCAATTTAACTTATGAAGAAAAAACATCTAGGAGAAGAGTTTTCTATAAGTAATTTTTAGATGAAAGGATTTCAAATTTATGATGACCTGAGTTCCTTTGCAGAGTAGGAAAGTCATGTAAGTCCAGGTTAGCCTTTGGGGATGAGCCACGTGGGCAGCTCCAGAATCGAGTTTATGCCTTAGGATGGATTGGAGGCTTCCTACACCCTCAGATCCGCCTGTGCTCTCTGAGTGAGGGCTTCCTGGAAAGCTTGTTCACCTGGGCATCCTCAGAGAAAGTGACAGCGTGCAGCGGAGCTGACACTTGTAAGTTGTATCACTCACTTTTCCGTGATATGAATAGAAAGCAAAACAGAATGAGAGAAAAGAGAGCTCTGGGGCTTTCTCCCCCAGTTGCTGTGCTTTTGTGGTCCTTACCTCTGAGGAGAGTGCCAGGCTCAGCTTCCCACTCTTTTTTCCAATCCTCATTGGCCTTTCGTTTGTAGGCTATTAAGCAAAAACATCAGTCAATCGTGGTGAGTCCCCAGAGGAATATGAAGGCCTGCAGTTCGGGTGCACACGTTCGGCTCCTGACCGTGCAGAACCTGGGCTTTATCTACGCGTACCCTGCTTTCCTGACTGCGGTGTCTCCTTGCCAGCGACGCTTGGCCTGAAGGTGGCTAAGAGCTTTCTGAGAAAGAAGATCAGAAGTCAGCAAATGGAAGGGGCTGGGGCAGAGAACCCTCAGCTGCCTAGATTTTTAAAGAGAGAGAGGGAAATCAGCTTAGGCTCCGCGCCTCATAGGCTTTAGGGCTGGTTAGGTAGAAAGGGCATCTGTAATATTATGAATATATAATGTGGCACTTAAAGGGCAGTTAATGCATGAGTTCTAAATGGCGATCAAAGGAAATAGGAGGCTGATGTGAGGAGGGACCATGGAAAGAAACTAAAAAGCAATAGAAATAAGTATATAGGTGAATATGACGTGATACAATTGTATGCGGTTGGATATTTCCTTTCAAATCTTAACTTTCACTGAGGTTGAGAATGCCAGAAGATGAAAAATGAACAATAGGTAGTTTTATGTGTTATTGTTTAAATGAGCAAAGCTGTAATTATTGCTAAAAGCAGATTTGATGATCCTAAGGGCTCTCCCTCTCCCCTCCCTATTTTCTCCTGTGATTTGAGGGTGACCACTGTTTCTCTGGTCCCTTGCTGATCATCACACCGTAGCATCTCCCAGGGATGCCGGTTGGTGGTTAGGATTCCCCTGCGGGCAGGGGTCACTTAGAATTTCTTAGTGGTAAGCGATGATGATGGCTTTCAGTTAAACAAAGATTTTGTGAACTCAGAGAATTGATCGTGATGATGGGCAGAAACCACGGTGCCTGCAGCGTGGGAAGTAGGAAACACAGTGACACCTGTCTCACAGTAGGACCAGTGTGGTTCCGGGGCCGCCGCTGCTGCTGTGATGAGTGATTCCCAGGCTCCTTCCAGCCTTGCTTCTCTCGTTCACAATTCCAAGTCCTAAGGAAGAATGTTTGACTGTCTGTGCTTAGGCCGCTTGCCTGTATGTTGCCTTTATCACAGGGCGGGAGAAGCAGATCGAAGCCAGAAAGCTAGAGTTACTGGTCTATCCGGACTATGTACAATAGGATTAGGAAATTACTATGCTATTAGTGAGGGGAAATGGATTCAAGAAAACAAAGACAAATAAACCAAATAAAAATCTGGTCGATGTACCTGCTGGTTCATATGTCTTGGGTTGCTTAGTGAGCATACCCTTCTGAGTGTAAATGTAATTTAAATGAAAACAATAGTAGTTTATGCACAACCAGTTGACTGTAAAGTAAATTATGTGATGGACTGGGGATATAGCTTAATGGCACAGCACCTGCCTGGCAAGCACAAGGTCTTGAGTTCAATTCCAGATACAAATAAATTGATATTTTTACTTAGAATTATGTATAACACTAGTTTCTTTATAAATCTCTTTCCATCTCTTCAACACTGAGGAGAATACTTATTGAACATTGTCTGCTTTGTAGGCATTAAACCAGGTACAAAAAGTATAAACACAAACAAAACAGGCACAGAAAGTTATATCTTCTGAAACATATGTCAACAGCAGTCACACTGTGGGCAGCTGTAAAATTAGATCGCTTATTTCGGATTGATCTGACACTCGAAAAACCGTTATTTTCTCATATAAAACATTTACAACTATTTTACACATGATGAATGAACACTTGTGGACTTATGGAAAAGTAAGAAGAAGGTACACACACATGCATATGCTTTCTTTTACTTTTCTCTTGAGTCCAATCCCTTGAGCAGCCTGAGCAGCGCCCCTGGAATGGGCAGTAAGTGGTTTCCACGTGGCTCTGTGGAGAAGAGTTGCCACCGCTGGTCTCACGATGGGTGTGTGGTTGACTGTGGTCTGAAGAGCATAGTGGTGAACACAGAATCCGTGTCAACAGCAGCAGAGCAGAAGGCTGCCCAGGGAGAGGACAAGGCAGAAATTCCAAAGAAGTGGACACGAGTGAGCCCTGAGTGTCCGTGACTAAGATCCCTCCCAAGGAATGGAGGGGTGGTGTGAGCTAAGCGGGGGGGGGGGGGGGATGCATAGTGGTTGCATGTGGGTTAGAGAATCCTGGCTTAGGCTCGGAATTGGGACCCAAAAGTTCTCTTCATATTGCGGGGGCCATTAGTGATGCGTATGTACAAATATTTGTGATGAAAATAGCATATGAGCCCGTGAATGCTTCAAGTTGTCTGAGAAAATATTTGAAAAGAATTGCTTTTCAGCATCGTACACATAGCCTGGATTATTTTGGAAGCAATATCTTTTAAATCTGTTTTAATTGTTCTCATTTAGAGTTGTTTTCCCTTTAAGATGGAAAACAGGTGTTATATAAAATTTATAGAACATTTAAAAATAATTTTTGCTTCAGGACATTTCAACAATTATTAAGAAAAAGAAAATGTATAAGAAAATCATTTGTTTTGGGTTTATTGAACTGACCCGGATTTGTGTCTTTAGATACCATTGGGCTACTAAGTGATTGTAATCTCTTTCATTGATTTGGAAGATTAAAAATAAACTCTTGGGAAGGCATTCTTACTGCTGAAATATAAAAATTGATATTTGGGTGTAGATGACATTATGTGTAGGTAACTTCCAAAGATTTGGCCATTTTATACAAATAATTTGTTTTCCTTTTTATTTTTTTTTAAAAGGAATGAGTTCTAGGGCAATGTCCACTTGAACTAATGGATATTTTAATTAAATACTTGAGTTAGAGAAACAAAAAACAAAAACCTGACACAGAAAAATAAAAACCTGACAAAACAAAAACATTTTCTTCTCAGGAGAAATTACTGATCCTCAGATAATCAGACCTATTTGGCCAGAAAATCAGTAGTTCTATTTTATCGTTATCTTTTTCTGTTTCCCTTAGTATCAAAACTGAAGCTGTTGGTAACGTTTGACCAACTTTTAAGGATTATTTTATATTTCTTTTTGAATTCGTGTCAGTAACACTTCCAATGCATGATTTTGTAAAATTATATTTTATGTAATCTGTGTATGTAATTCCTCAAAGAAAGACTCTATGAGAGTCAGTCTAATAGTAAGGATGTTATCTGATCTGTGCATTTAACAACAGAGTTTAAGTGCCAATAAAACTTGCATATGTTTGGAATAAAACTATCAATGTAAGAATCCATACAGTGGTAAGAAGGATGCCTAAGAATTTCAGAGTCATAGAAATGCTAGAGCTCAGAGCTTAGAGATGCTAGAGAAACGAGGTCTAGTGACTTTCCTAATACAAACCCAGCTACGTCACAAAAGAGCCCAGAGGAAAACTTTGCTTTCTGAAACATGAGGGATGTGTAGAGGTGAATGTCTTAGCAGCTGAATAAGATTCTGAATTGTTTACCTACATCCTCTTAATATTTGGTGAACTTTTATTTTTTTCTACTCCTATTTGGTGAACTTTTATAAACGCATTTGTTATAAGAATGGTTTCCTGTGTTAAGGTCCATGTTAATTTCAGGCTTCATTAGGCCACCATTTTAATCAGAGCTTGACAGTTACATTTTTCACTTTAAGAAAAATTTACTAGAAAAAATTTCACGACTTGGGTATTCTAAACTTTTATGCTTTTAGTATCATATTGTATTTAGAGTTTCTTTTGGATATTTTCTGTTTTTTTTTTCTGTAGAGGCTTGTGTGCTTAGAACTTCTCCTAAATAGCTTATGAGAATCGATTATATTATGTGTGATGAAATGAACAGCTACTTTGAAGAAAAAGAGACATTATGGTATCCATTGCTGATTCCATATCGTCATGCTGTGAAATCCAGTAATGCATCTATTCTTTTTTCAGAGTGGTTTTAGTCTGTTTTGTATTGTTTAATTTCAACATACATGAAGATGCGGACAGCTATTTTGAAGAGGAGAGACACTATGGCAGCCATTGTTAATTTTCCTATTGTCTGATTCTGAAGGCCTGGGATGCCTTCATTACTCTGTTCTGATCAATTTTATGCTATTTTATTTTGTGTGAATTCATTTTGTGTGAAGACATAGACAACCATGTAGAAGCAAACAAGAGACATTATGGTAGCCACTGTAGATCTCCTGTTGTCTTGTTTTGAAGTCTGTGTCGCTTACATTGTTTTCTTCTGATCTGCTTTGTTCTGTTTAGTTTTACCCTTTTTAAAAAGAAAAAAAGCAATTTAACAGAAAATAAAATCTCATTTAACATTCATCACATTAACTGACCAAAAGTCTGGAATTATTTGCCTCTTGAGAAAATTTTATCCATAGAAATTTAAACTACACTGAGATATCATCTTAAACCCCAGAAAGAATGGCTATCTTCACAAAATCTAATAAAAACCACTGGTCAGGATGGTGGAGGAAAAGGAATGTGCTACATTGTTAGTGGGATTGTAAATCATGTAAGTTTTGTGGAAATCAGTATGGAGATTCTTCAAAAATTGAAAGTAGAAGATACATTTGACCGTCTGTCCTCCTTCCTAGGTTTCTTCCTAAAAGAGTTAAAATCATCATAGGACAAGGATATATTATTCAGACTCATGTTTATTGTAGCACAGTTTAGAATAGCGAGATCTTGGACACAGCATAGATGTCCATCAACATGAGTGGGTAAGGAAAATGTATTTATACATCGTGGAGTACTACACTGCCAGAAAGACAGACGATGCGTTTGTGGGTCAATCCATGTAACTTGAGAGCATAGGATTAAGTGAAACGAGTCAGACACAAGCTCAAGCATTGCACACTTACCCTTATATGATAAAATATGTATATGCATATTCAAACTATGGATCCACAAGAAAAGAGCAAAGTAGAAGAGAGAGAATCAGGATGTACAGGGAAGTTCAAATACCCAGATTACGTGTTTCTTTGTTTTGAAATATTTCAGTATATATGCTAATATATTTCATTTACAGAAAAGGTCTATCTTCATTGAAAAGAAAATTTGTTTTGCACCCGTTTGTTTCTTTTTTGTAAGAGTCTTTTAAGTTTATGTCTTGTGGTTAGTAACTGCCTCGAAGATAACGACACACAGTGTAATGACTATTACTGTTGTTCAGTTATGAAAATTTTTTTTATAAAACAAAAGAAAAATGGTTGCCCATAGTTACCAGATTTGTTGGAGACAGGTCATTAATTTTGTGTACACAAAATCCAGTGATCCTCTGTGTTAGTTGCTCCCATACCAACGTGCACTTCTGTGTGATAGAAGCGGTGTTACTGGAACTCATTTGTAAGTGTGGTACCCAAATCCTAGATCCACAGAGAGTACTCACCTGCTAGTGAATGGAGGTGTCATCTGAAGCATCAGGGGTGGGACTCACATCCGTCGGAATTTGAAAGGCAGCAGCCAAAACTGTGTACGTAAATTTACATGTGGGATACTTTTGCAGGCTTCAAATGAGCAAGCAACCTATTTTGATATGACCTTTAGTGGTCTTCCAAATAGGAGGGAGCAGACCAGTGTGTTTGTACTTACCCTCCGAGTTACCACAGTTACTTACAGACTCGAGGTGTGCTCCTGTTTATAGGCTGGGAGCTTTGGGACAGGCTTCCTTCCTTCTTGGAGGATTCCAGGTCCAGCAGAGCACACACTGCATCTATGCCTTGGGGGACTGCACGCTAAAACCCCGCAGCAATTACACACTCAACAGCACTCCTGTGGTTTGCAAGTTAGAGTGCTTAGCAATTTACCACGAGGGTGGGCCTTAGGGGAAGAAAGAATACAGTTCAATTAATTAGGACTTGTTAGCAAACTCCAGCTATTACCGTATTTATGTTTTCAGACCACTGATAAGCCCACAAGACTTGGAAAGGAGGTAAGAACAGGCAGTTGAGAAAGCTAATTTATCCAACATGGCACTAGTTCTGCTGTGTTGACTGTAGACCAACTTTCATACATTAGCTTCCTAAAGTGAAGACATGGGAAATGGAATTGCATGTCTTTATCTGTGACTTGCTGTTTTTAACTCTTTCATTTTTCATTTTTTTGGGGGGGAAGATTAATAATCTTAGTGGTCACCTATAGGTTTGTATGAAAGTTTAATATTAATGAATTAATTATTGAGTGTTATCTGGAGTTATGGATTTTGGATTTCTATTTCTTCATTGCATGTTCAAAGTAGCTATCACTGGCATTTAAAAAAGTTAATGATTCTTCCTAATTATGTAGTGGTTTATCAAGATATTACTCAAATAATACCTTCTCTGTCTTGAACATTCTTTTAGTCAGTTTAATGTTTCATGATGTGAAATCATGTTGATCTTAAATAATAATTCCATATTTTTTTCAATAAGTTCAGGTCATATTTCCTTTCTTTTTGTCCTAGTACACTTGTCTGGTTTCCACATTATACTTTCTATATTTGTGTAACCTGTTCAGCTCCATGGTCCATATGTAAATTTTGTAGTAGCTTTTTCAAAGAGGGAAAAAATACCATGCTTTCTAAAGTTTTAGAAATTTGGAGGGACCAAGTTCAATTTCAGTGTTCTAGACTTCATTCCTTTAAAAAGAGCTCAGAAGTATGTTTTATTTTGTAAAATGTTAGTGTACAGCTGCAGTCATAGGACATCGGTTATTGACTTAATTACTTAGTTCACCTACAGAGCCAGCCATGTGTTTGCTTAATTTATAGTGTACTTTGGAAAATATGATGCTTTCTGATAAAATGTTGAGTTGAGGCAGTGGGTTTGCAGGAAAAGGGTAAGGTGGGGGCTGTAGATACGTTTAGCTTTTCTACCTCTTCGGCTAAGATAGCTGCTTTGAAAAGGAAGTGACTGCCTCGTTGAGTCAGGACACTTCAGTGATTTGTGCTAACCTTCCTCTGGTGGGCAATTCCGTTCTCACTCTGCAGTCCCCGAGGAACCGCCTGGGTGCACACGGGAGGGTTTCCTGACCAAAGTTCATGTGTAGTGTAATTTAAGTAAAAGCCCTGATTATGTTCTGTGCTGCTCTGAGTTAAATGATAGGAAAACCTGATATGTGTGGAAGGGCAGGAAGCAAATGAGTGTGTTTTTCTCCTCCAGCTCAGAAAAAAGTAGCATGAGAAATGGATTAACCAATGCTGGTTCTAAACCCTGCCCAGCTAATGGTAGGAAGCCGAAAGCATTAGAATGAATAGTATTGACAGGAACAATGAACTGATTTATTAGTTTGTGTGTCGCTTCTGATTGTTCTGTGTAGTCATACAATCTGTCTGCCTGTCTACCTACCTATATACGCACACCTGCATATACATACATGATTGTCATGATTGATTCTTCTGTATATCACAAGGAGTTAAAATCAGCCAGATTTAAAGATACTGTATCTGTATTGCTACATGTCCTACTTTGAATTTCTCAGTGGGTCTGTTCATTTTCCTGTGAGATGATTTCAGATATATCCAAAAGCATATTCTGAATGATTAGGATACATTTAAGAATTTATCCTATTAGCAATCTAGCTTCTGGTAATATATCTCCTATGCTAAAATAATCCATTTTTATTAAACAACATTACTCAATGAAATCTGAGCAAAGGAAGCTAGTTTTAAGATAGACTAAGTTCATTTTTTCCAAGTTTTGTAACAGAGTCCAGAAGATTTATCATCCCCAATTTTGCCTATTATGTCTAAATTATTGGCTTCTCAGGGCAAGATATACAAATGCAAAGAAAATAGGCACTTGTGTATTTTAGCATTTCATGTGAATTCTCATTGGATCCGTAGACTGATGGATGTTGTGGCAAGCAGTTGGGAAAATAATAAATTACAAACAATAAATAGTGAAAAAATACATGATCGCTTTATTATTTTAATTGGCTTGAAAGCATTAGTGACTTAATTACGAGTGACATCTTGTGTTTGAAGAGCTTCTTCTTTCTTGGGAGCCACATGGATCGTAGCTATAGTTTTCTCTTTATCACTTTTCACCCTCTGACTCACTATGAATATATATACATTTACTGTGTCCATTCCTCCTTTTGCAGAATTATAAGCTGTGGGAGGGGAGGGATTTTTGAGTGTTTAACTGATGTAGTCGTGTGACAAGCACTGAAAAATATTGGTTGAATGAATGAATGAATGGGGCATCACATATTGGCCTAAGGTGACAATTTTTGAGCAAAAAAAAAAAAAAGTTAAACTCAGTTCTGGCGCTAGTGAAGAAGTTTGGATTTCATTACTTCCTTTGTTAAGTTACCAATTTAAGAGGCTGAGAAAACTGGGCAGCTATCAACTAACCGCGTGTGCCTCCCTGCTTGCGTGCCTTGATGCTCTTTCTCCTTGGCCAAGTCTTTCTTTCTGTCCAGAATTCCTTTTCCTTGGTTCATTTTTTTGACCTGGATAATCTGGATCACAAATTGCAAGCAATTTCTCCAGGAAGTGTTTGTAGCCCTTGCATGCTATGGTTTTTCCATTGTTGGTTTGTTTGTTTACAGATTAACGAAAGGAAAAGAAAGAACGAAGTCTGCCTTTGCTCTGCACGGGTGCAGTGCTTCGTTCTGAATGTTTTGGAGCAGAGGTTAGATGCCCTCCCCACCTGCTCCCACAGAGTTCTGTCCTTATTGGCAGAGTGAACTCGTAGCTGGCTGTGCGTGTTTAACGTCCCGCTCCTCATGGCAGACTATACTCCAGATCCAGAATCACAGTGTTTCTGTCTCTTTTTAACAAGACAAGATGGCACTGAAGAAAAAAGAGAAGTGGCAGAGAAGGACCGGGAAGGAGAGGAGAGAAGGGGAGAATGGAAAGGAGGAGAGAAACAAAAGGCGATTAGAAGGTGCTTCCTGCTGCTCATCTTAATCAGGAAAGAGCGTGCAGCCAGTGGAGGGGCTGGGTGCTACAGCAGGCTTCCGAGAGAGTTTTATTTAACTGCTGAATACCTGTTCTGCTGTGAGTACTTTGTGTATCAGGCTGCGTGCTCGGCACAAGGTGACACAGTGGCAAAGGAAGGATGGCTCTGCTCTCACCGGGGTTGTGTTTCAGTGAGTGAGGGAGAAGGGATGCATGTAGCAAAGGAATATGTGTCATAGTATAAAAGGCGACAGGAAATACATATAAAATGCAAACACATGAGCTTAATAGCTGCGTAATGTAACATGGAATGTGGCACTGTTTAAAGGCACTGAGAGTGTCAGGCGGTGACTCACGGTACATGCAAGAAAGCTCAGAGTTCTCTCCTTTTTAGGTGCTGTGTGCTGTACCCTAGAATGGAAAATGCAAGATGAACCACTCTGGGAGGGGTGTATGTAACTCACACATGCGCATCAGCCCACAGGACATGCAGGGCATAGTTTGTGTAGACCAGTCATGTGTCAGTGTGGACTCTAAAGGGGCCCCTCGAATCAGACAGCTCCCAGAGTAGAGGTCTTACGCACTTCGGGGCAAGACACCAAGCTTAAGATGAAGATGGCGTGAGAACCCCAAAACTAGATATAGTCAACCCTTCAGCATCTGAGAGAGATTCGTTCCAGAATCTTACACCCCGTACCCAGATCGATAGATGCTTAAGTCTTTTGTACAAGATGGTGTAGTGTTTGTAATGTTATTGTAGTACATATGAATTTTGATCACATACCCCAAGATTCCTATCAGCCTAGTAGTCGTTGACAGGGAAAGTAACAAGAGTGAATTTCAATTACTTTTTCTTTATTGAGGACTCAAGGCAAAGCAGGTTTTCAGTTTTTGTACTTACTACAGTGATATAACAGAGACCTGTAACAAAAATGGGCCAGTTCAGAAATAGAAATTAAATCTGGGTTTATATCAAGTGTCCTTTACCCTTGAAAAAGGAGCTGCTGTTTGGATTACTTTTGATCTGGAAATAAACTCACTGTGAAATATCACAGTGATAGCTGTGTCTAGATGTCCTCCCAAAGCCTCATGCAGTCATAGGCGGAGCTTATTCAGAGGTGGATGGATCTAGAGTGTATGACTGATTCACAGCACAATGTTAGGATTACAGGTGGGTGATTACTAAATCACTGCCCTAATCCAGGATTCTGGAAACAACATAAGGGACAAAAAGAGGCTTATCTTGTCCCTTGCTTGCTTTGCTGCCTTCTGCCCCTCATGAACTGTTTCTCCTCTTTGATGTTTGGAGCCAGCTGACTATGGCCTGAAACCTCTACAAATAAACCTTTCCTCCCTTAACTTTGGGAGCTAAGTATTTTGTCTCAGCAACTAGAAGAATAACTAAGATAATCATTGTGAGCTATACCCTTGAAGTTGTTTTCATTCTATGATGCTTTATTTCTTTTTCAGTGTTTGAGGCACACGAATTACCGTCAGAGTAGCTTACATTTTGCTGAATGCAAATTACTGGCAACAGACATATACATTTCAGTCTGCAGGAAGAATGGAACTAGATTTAGAAAATTGATAGCAGACCTTTTTCTCTATTACAAAGTCAAACCTCATGCTTCGGTTTGGATATAGAGATAAGAACAGAATAAGTGGGAGATGTGCAGTGAGAAATCTGGGGATGGGGTATTTAGTTTGTTGATGTGTATTGTATCAAACTTCTGACTAAATCATTTGTACCTCCCCTACATGTTACTTAGGCTGACATTAAATAAGGACTTACAAACAGCCCTCCATTTTTCTCTTTCCTTTTTTTTTCTTTCTTTCCTTCTGTTTTTTCTTCCTCTCTCTCTTTTCACTGTGCTTTCATATGGTAATTTCGGTATAGTTTCTCATACTGAAGTCACTACTGTAGAATTCTTCAGACAGCCACATGGTAAGATTAATGAAATACAAGTCAGTAAATAGAATCATTAGTGAATGCTATGTATCATCACGATCCAACAATGTCCATTTCTTGAGTATGTCTTAAAATAGTAAGTTTTTTTTATTATTTTAAAGTCTGCATTTGATAATTTTCTCATTAATTTTTTTAGCAGCGGAAAGATAGTGTGAACTTGTTTTTTGAATTACCTTGTCTGACCTCTTGCAAGTTGATAATTACAAAAATGGGAGGCCTGGAAAACTTGTAAAAAATGTAAGCTTATAAAGTAGCTAAAATGGTCCTTCTGTGCTGGTGTCGATTTCAAAATTAACATTTTGGTTCATGTGCTTCTAATAATCACTGACCCTTACCTCGTGTACTTTCCACAGGAAATGAATACAGCAGAAATTACTTTGACCCACTGATGGATGAGGAAATAAACCCAAGGCAGTGTGGGATGGAGGTCAGCAGAGAGGGTGAGCTAGAATTAAGTATGTAATTTTTGTGTCAGAATATTCTTTTCCATTCATGAAAATGAGGTGACAAAGATCACACATGCAGTTCTGCTTAGATTTTGCAGCTTACAATTTAAATGGTAAGTTTTAACCACCACCAACATGATGGGCAGTGAAGGTAATTTTTGATCAAGGACAGCAAGCTGGTGAGATGAAAGAAGCCTCCGTTTGCTTTCATCTGAGCTGCCGTGAAGAGTTTGGGCCTTTATAAGATCCATGTCACGCATTCGTGGGGCATCGCTTTGCAAATGCATCTCTGCCCTTCAAATTTAAAATGAGCATTCTTCAGTCAAATGCATCAAGCACTGAGATTCCCAGGTACCGTGACTGTTGGATTCCTTTCAATGAATGTGCAAAACCACCCTGTAACCTTCGGGCCACAGAGATGCAGATATGTTAATAATATTCTTTTCTATAATCTTGAATCTCGTTGTGGTTGTAAAATAACATTTCAAAATTGCTCCTTCAACGCATACCTGTGTGTGGATTTTACAGTTTACAAAGTGTTCTGGGGTTTGCAGAGGTGACTGATGAGATAATGACACTGGTAAACAAATGTTCCTTAGAGTTATTCGCATTGAGAAGATCAGATTCCAATAGCAACCATTTGTAATTGAAATTGCATATTTTCATAGGAGCCTCGCCTACGTTTCCACAAATAAAGGCGCTCAAGTGTGCTACAAAGATTATTTTATGAAGGAGTTCTAAATAAACTAAGCATTTTTACTGATGTGACATTCAAGGTATTATTAAAGGCTACATGTGCAAGACAAAGATTCAGTCTTCCAGACAGTTCTTCCCAGTTGCTGAAACTTTAAGGTGAATTTGAAGTTGGAAAATTTCTACCATTTTTTCTTCTTTTTTTTGCTTATAAACACTTGAAGGGTGAGAGACAATCCCAGGAACTTCTGGGAGGAGTTAGCAAATGAATAATCATTGGAAGTTTGTTTTTAATATTTTAGCGACCACAGTAACATAGGTGCATTTGGTAGAATTTTGTACTGCATGGAGTTCCTCATTTAGGAAAACTATCTTATTAAGAAGTGTTGGAGGAATAAAAGATGACTGTAACTACAGACAGCTAAGTTTTCCATTGGCAGCTTTGCGTATTCTTACCTGAAAATGCTTAGTATTTCATGAAAATACTTATCTCAGATTTTGGATATTTTTTGAAATTTTAGAATATTTGCATTTGTGTTGTGATACATTTCATGGATAGTAAGTCAGTCTAAATGTGATATTCATTTATGCTTTATATGCACCTAATACATGTAGCCTAAGGGTAATTTTATATAATATTTTAAATAACATTGTACAATATTTTAAATAATATTTTCTGTTCATGGTAGGAATTTTCTACTCATGTTATTAGGTTGACAACCAAAAGTTCTAGATTTTGGGACATTTAGAATTTTGGGTTTTCAAGTCAGGGATGCTCACCCTGGATTTGTGGTCATTCTAGCCCCTGCCCTAGTGAGTTAATGTTGGCCAACACCTGGGTTGACGTGGGTGCACGCATTAGATGGGGAGTTCTTTTTATGTCTGCCCCTCATTTAGGCTGTTTTGGGGTCTGCTGGGGAAAGGAGCTGGTGCTGTCACCACCGGGGGTCTCACCCAGCCTTCTTTCTACAGAACTCCTTTGATTTCCTCTTCCATTTCTCTTCTGCTTCTCATTTTCTCTCCTTATTTCTTCTTCTGTGCTTTTCTTTTCAAAATTCTTTCTTACCTGGAAGATCTATTTTATCATATTTATTTGAAATGCTTTGTTTCCTTCATGTGACTTAGGACTTTGTGGTTGAAAAAGAGATTTTCTCTAGTCTCCTAAATTCTAAATGAGGGTCTCTATATATCTGCATGGTATAAATGAATGCAATGGGCTAAATGTTTCTGTGAGAGGTTCTGTTTGCTGGGCATTTCTACCTCCTTCTAGAACACTGTCATGAACATGCCCAATCCTGGCATCTAGCAGACTCTTCACTGCACATGGTATCAAGGAGAGAGAGTTTGGTGGGAGCTCCATGTGGTAGAAGATCTTGTCTTGTATGACTACGTTGTGTCCATTACTGCATCTGCAGCCATTAGTTTCTCAGACATAAAAATATTTAATACATCTTTGCCTAAAGACTAGTGAGCAATGTTCAGATGTGCACTGATTTCTATGACCTGATACAGACATTATTTTCTGAGTTTTCCAAAGAGGAGTAACCAATAGGATTACACTTTCTCTAAAATATATGTATATTATACAATGCACACATCTCTCTTAAACACATGCTGGTTACATAAGACATAGATGTGCATGTGTGTGGATGAGAGAGATTTTAAAGACTTAGCTCACTCAATTTGGGGGCTAGCAAATTTATTCATAGGGCTTCCAGATCACACTTGATATGTGTTCAGCGAAGGCCCAGTGTTTCTGCCTAAAGTTCAAATTCTGCATGGTAGAAACCAGAAATTGCAGTCTAGTGTCTGTGTTTAATGTTGAGAATTCCTTCTTCTTGAGAAATTTGAACCTTTTCTCCCAAGACATTGACTGTTTGCATGAGGCCCACCTATGCCATGGAGAGTAATCTGCTTTCCTCAAAGTCTACTGAGTTAAACATTAACCTTTCCAAAGTTAACTACTTTAAAAATCAGTAACAACTAAAAAGTCTCTCCATGACAAGTGGACTAGGGTTTGACCAAACAGTGGACACACAGCTTCGCTGGAGTGTAGAGTGAGCTGAAGTTCCTGGATTTGCAGGCAGTGTTCTTTCCCTGCCCCAGCAGCCCTGGCTTTCTAATTCAGTCATGCCAGCTCCATTAGGACCGACTATACTGGGTCCCCGCCCCCATACTGATGTTGAAGGGATCTGAAGGATGAGTAGAAAGGGAAGATCTGGAATTATCAGAATCTTTTAGCTTAGAGAATAAAGATCCCAGAAGACTTTTCCGCAATACTTGGTGGAATTTTAGATGTGAGCTGTGGACTGGCCCACCCATAGGTAGCAAAATGGTAAGTAATGGAAATATAAGGGGTGTATGGAAAGCAGCACAGTAAAAGTGTGTGGGTTAGTTGGCTCCCAGGGGAAGAGAAGCACGTTTGAGGTACTAATACATGTGTGCTTTGATTCTAAGGCTGAGGTGGTCATTCAGCTTGCATTGTGGATGCCTGAGTCAATCTAATGGCAGGAGATAATGCCTAGACTGTATTTTTTTTTCTGGTCAGAAGTGGGCCTGTGAATAAAACTCACAGCCTTGAGCCGCTAGTCAAGGCTTGTAGATCCCATAGATCTATAATCCCAGGCGTAAATGACCTTGTAAGCCCCCTTCCAGGACATAGCTCAGGCCCTGGGATGTACCTGAGCAGTGGAACATGTACTCCATGTGTATTCAAGATCCTGAGTTAGATTTTAACACTACAATAAAAAATAAACAAAACTGTCTTCTAGAATTGTGTATTGATAATTAAATTTCTGACTTTGGCTTTGTCTTGTTTTGCAGGCTGTAGGTAACATCATGGTCTTGTTGCTTTAAATTCACAACAGAACTAAGAATTCTGGGTTCCTTTATACATACAACTGCAATATGATAGCATATAAAAGAATAGAAGACCACCAAAGTGCTTTGTACATATACAAAGTAGAAAACATATAGAGAGTAGCTAATGGAAAACAGTCATTCATTTTGATCAAACACTTAAATAGTCTATTATATGATTTGAGAAACCATAATATGATTGTTGAAATGATTCTTGAGTAATAGATGTCATAATCTATTGACTATGAGATGCTTTTTATTGGATAAGTATCCCATTATGCATGCCCTGTAATATGCATTTAAAATCATTGTTCCAATTATCATCGATTTACAGAAGATTTTTTTTTCAGAACAAGGAGCATATTCAGTACAGTTTGTGTCTGTGACTCATAAGATAACCATATAGTTATGATGATTAAGTATTTATTTGTTATTATATTTGTGTATTTCTAAATTAGCTGACAAGGAAGTTATACATGTATGCTTTTCACTTTCCTACAAGGTGATGAGAAAATTTTCCATAATCAACAAATGAAGTTGATTGATGAGTGTGGACAAGGAGAATTTCAAGGTAGGAAACTAATTATATTCAATATTTTAGATGCGTTTTAGTTGTAAATTGATAGCATTTCTCACAAAAGACGTTCCTTTTCAAAATACAAGCATTCATTGATAAACTGTATGTGCTTTTGTTTGTGTTGAATATTGAAAGGTAGTAAAGTTTGTGGGAAATAATTATGGTCTGATTTTCTATAATTGTACATAATAGGTGACCTCAAATGGCAAAATGATTTGCAACTTACTATTGCAGAATCCTATCACAGCATGTGTCCTGTCTGGATTTGCTCATTTATGAAACTGTGTACCTTTCACAGACTGTTTTAGCTTTTAACAAATGCTTTGGAGTGGTAGAGGAAAATATTGTTTTCAACCTTAGCTTAGTCATTCTTATTTACAAATGCTAGGTTCTTTCTAATAAGTGAGGAATTACATGTACTAAAACAGAAATCAAAGGCAGTCATTTAGAAACTAAATTCTAAATTCTCAGTTTGATACATGTGAATTCATGCCAGACCATGTTATAGTTTTACAGAAGTATTAGATGACAGTTCCTGTGAATACGTACAGTTGAATCCACATAAAATGAGTCTATGGATTAGTTCTTCTCAAGCAATCATTTCATCGTCCTTGTTAAAATAACTTCTCCAAGTACCTAAGAGGCGAAGGGGATCTGATGATTAGGTTTTTAATGGTTGCAACTGTTAGATACAATCCAGTTGACACATACAGCTGAGCATCCCAGGCCCTTGTGTGTTTAGTCTTGTTTCTGAGTCAGCAAACATATACTGAAAACTTTAGTGTGGAAGGATGGGATAGTGGACATTTCACGCATTTCCACTCCTACAGCTCCATCAGCTTGGATGCTTTGAAACCATCTCAGTTGTGCATTTATAGACAGTAACCAAGAGGTCTTCTACAAATCATTTACAGGCTTACAAAAGTCTCACAAAATTTATAGGAGAGTCAGGCATTTTATTAACTATTTTATACGTGAGAATAAAGCAGATTCTACAAAGTTTAAGGATTTATACAAGATAGCACGCTTTAGCAGTGAACAAAGGAGACTAGAATTCCGTGAGCAGTACTGCCCTCTCCGGTACCTCTAGAGGCTCCCTTCCTTTGGTTCTTGATAAAATTCTGGCACTGGAGACAAGGAAAATTCCCTATTAGACTTTCCAGCATTTTTAGAGATGAGAGGAGGGAGGATTGTTTTGTATGCACAGTGTACATCTGGTTAGATGAATAGAGGCATTTTGTAGGTGATACCATATTCAGATGATAGATGCATTGCTATATGGATAAACAAGGTGGCCCAAATCCAGTGTCTGTGTGTGTGCACCTCTTAGGAACTGTTCTCAGGGATCTTAACCTGGGAAAATGAACCACAGAACTCTGGCCTCTCCTCAGTGTGGTCATCTCCCAAGTTTCAGCATCACAGCAAGAAGTGGTAAATGGGCAGGTAAATAACATATAATATTGAAAAGTAGGGTAAAGCACAGTATCCACATTTCTGGGTATATTTGGTACATGGAAAAAGGCTTTAACATATAGGTAGGCTTTTGTTCATCTTGTAAGTACTACAGGATAAAAACGGGATGTAACTTTTTCTAAATTTTAAAACTTTTGGGCTTGGGGCTGGGGATTTAGCTCAGCGGCATAAGAACCTGTCTGGCAAGTGCAAGGTCCTGAGTTTGATCCCTGGTACCACAAAAACAAAAACAAACAAACAAAAAAACCCAACTTCTGACCTTCAGTGATTTCCCAATGCATCAAAAAGAAAATAATTGGCGAAGTTTAGATTATGAAAGACCAAAATTTCCTCCACAAAAGAAATGAAGTAGTTTACCATGTGTTTGATCAATGCTAAAATAATAAAAGCAAGTGGGATTCCGTGTGCTCTTCTTGTGTAAACAGATGAGAGCAACACAGAGGAGACTCTGGATTCCGAAGCGCTCACAAGTTTCTGCAAACGTAGTGAGATTCACAAACAGACAGATGAAGCCGCTCCAGAGTTCATCGAGGAGTGGGAAAGCCATGCTCAGAAAGATGTAATTCTGCTTGGAAGTTCTCCGTTTGAACAGGTCAGCATTAAATGTATATGTTAGATGACCTATTTTTAAAATGACAACTCGAAATGTCAGTCCTACACATTGATGGTCTACTGATTTTGCGTCCCAGCTCACTCTTCATAGAACACATGATTTATGACTTCAGCGAACCTTTCCCGTTACAATGCATACACATTTCACCAGGCAGAAGTTGCATTCCTTATCAAAACCTTCCCGTGGCCCTTGAGCCATTTAGTTTCACTCCATCTGCTTTTATTTTATGCCGTAGCACTCATGTCTAGCAGGCCATGAAGAATCTACAATACAATCCAAAACCAGCATGAACCTATGTGGGTAAATTTATGGTGAGCTTATTTACACAAGAATTGTATTAGAATATAAATATTAGTCTATAAATATTTGGGAAGTCACTGCTTAAGCGACTTGGATTCTGACTGTTGTGTCTTCAAAGACATCTGTTTTGATTTCTGTACGCATACTTATATTTACATTGCAGCATGGTGGACTCTGGTCTACCAGGGAGAATAAAAGGCTCTCTTTTATGGGTACCTTCTCTACTGCAAATAAAAATATGAGAATTTCACAGGTATAACTCCCCCAGGGATGCATGCCTCTGTGTGTGTGTGTGTGTGTGTGTGTGTGTGTGTGTGTGTTTTGTTTTTTGTTTAGCGTCAACTGATTCAGACTAAAGAGGAAAAATTTCACCATGTAAAAAAGACCACACTAAATTTCTTTTATATAACATATTGCAAACAGTACTATTATTTTCAACTATTCAACAGTACTATTATTTTCAAAGTGAGAAAATAACTTACTGGGAGTGAGTAGGTGGTGTTCTCTAATTTGGTGCATGGAAATTCTGTGACTGTGGTTAATTTTTTTCCTTTGTGCTATTTAGATCTTAAAATCCTGGATACATTATGTCTATTTTGAATTTTATCATGTAATTGACCCAAATTAGCAATTTCCTAACATTCCACTAATGGGCTGAAATGTGTCCTCCCAAAATATAGCCTTGTCCTAGCCCCAGTACTTGTGAAGGAGACCTAATTGGGAAACAGGATCTTTGTAGATATAATTAAGTTAATTGTCAACAGAAATTTACCAAAGATATGATCATCCTGGATTTAAGGTGGGTCCTTAATCCTATGACTAGTATCTTTTCACGAGAAAAGGACAAGACAGACAGAGAGAGAGAGAGAGACTTGAGACACACAGAGAGAGGAGAAGAGAGGTTTGAGATACACATAGAGAGAAGGTTATGTGTGTTGGTTAGCTAGCTTTCCCATTTCTGGGACATGACACCTTCACTTTAAAGGAGGAGAGGTTTATCTTTGCTCATGGCTCCAGAGGTTTCAGTCCATGGGCAGCAGTGGAAAGGCACAGTGAGAGAAAGCTACTCAACTCATGGCAGGCACTGCCATGGTCCCAGAAGCGGGGACCAGTGATCAGATATAGCTCCCAAGGTCGGACCTCCATGATTCACTCTGACACACCCAGATGTGTGCTTAACTGATCTCCTAGACATCTTGAAAGCCAATCAAGATTAGCTATCATAACATGGGAAGTTGGAGACAAAGATCAAAGTGATGCTTCTATAAACAAAGAAATGCTGAATACTGACACAATCACCAGAACCCTGGAGAAGGACAGAGAATGGATTTCCTCTTACAGCCTCCAGAAGCAACCAATTCTGGCAACATCTTGATTTCAGACATCTACCCTCCAGAACTGTGATTTCTGATGTTTTGGGTCAGCAAGTTTGTAACAGTTTTTAAAGGCAGTCATAGATAACTAATGCAGCTTCTCCAGTGGAAATCACAGGAGCTTGGCTCCACCTCTTCACTGATGTATTAACAGTACCTTGGTCTTTATGAAGACAGTGTTCTCAGAGCACATTGAGAAGAAACAGGACACAGGACTCTAACTTTGCCTGTTCACATTTCCTATACATAATATCTTTGAATGCATGTTCTGGTAGAAAATAAAAACAAAAAAGTCGTCCACCTTACCTTTCCCCCTGCATGGTGTCTGTTTACCATATGCTTTCAAGAACAGGCACTGAATTGTGAGTCACTTACCTTCCTGGACCTTGGTTCCTTCATCTGAAAAACACAGGGAATTAAGAGCTATTTCCATGCAATTGTTTGGGACATGAGTTATTCATAAAGAATCTAGCACAAGTAAGTGCTGATTAAATACAATAGGCACTATGGGAGAAAAAGCTCATTTTGAGGCCAATGCTTACAACATTCTTATATTCACTGTATTGAGAAGTCCTCTGAACATGCCAGCCTGTGCTGTTTGAAAGGAAAAGTGCATTGCTTTCATCTTCAGTTCTAATATTTACATGATCTTGGGCCTGTGTTTAAAATTTGACTCGGTAATTTAAGCCTTTAATGGTTATGGGGGGATTAATCAGATATGTCCTAGGGTAGGACAATGAATGTTTTCCTTTCTTGTGATTCTTTTTATGTATTTGTTGAAACCATTACATATTCTTATTTTTATTGTAAGAGTTAGTTGATAATCATATAATAATGTGTTTAAGAGGAGGTCTGGGATGGAGTGATCCAGTGGGGTGAGGATCAGTGGGTGGATTCCTCCTCTGACACAATTTGCCTGTTATGACTGCTTTACATGGTGACTGGCATGACTGTTTCTTGTTCCAGCGTTACAGGGCCTTGTGGTGGTACGCAAGGCGATGGAAGAATCTAGATCGCAAAATGAGGTGGAGCCTTTCACTGAACCATTGCTTATGAGGGGGAGAGATGGGCTGAAAATTACGCGGTGCAGAGATAAATATTTGAAAACTCATCAGTCTTAGAGATATTGATAGTTGATGTGTATCTTGGAGAAAACAACAACAGACAAAAGAAAAAGAAATAAGGAAAAACCTCCTACAGTGGTAGTGAAAGAACATTCATAGTCTAGCATACTTACTGAGTGACTTTTTTTGTACTTACAGAGCAGAATACAGAGATGAAGAATGTGCTTTCATGCTGTGTAAAAGCATTGCTTGTGGTTATGTGTGTGGCTGTGGTTAAGTGTGTATAGTGATGTCTGTGTGTATATCTTAGTTACTTTTCTCTCATTGCTGAGACAAAATAATTGATGCTCAAAATTAAGGAAGAAAAAGTTTACTTAATTCACAGTTTGTAGATATTTCAGTCCATAATCAGCTGGCTCCAAAGCAGAGTGACATAGCAGCGTGGCAGCAGTTCATGGTGACGGAAGACTTCAAAATCAACAAGAGCAAAAAGGGGAGGATTAAGGCTCTTTTTCTCCCCTTATATTATATGCAAGTTACTCACTCTAGGATGATAGTACTCACAGCATCTCTGTACCATCCTTTTTCACAGGCTAAGGATGTTTACAAAGTGAAGACCCTGGCCTCCTGTTGAGTCACTTAGTTAAACTTCTAAACTTCCAGGTGACACAATGAATCAACCATTATAACATCCTGGAGTGTAAACAGCCTCTCTAGGGCATGTTCTCTACACTCTAGGATGTGGAAGCTGAAAAGCTTCTGAACCTCTCAAACTGACACAATGAATCAACCATAACAGAATGACTCTGTGTATGTGTGGTTGTGCATGTGTGTGTTGGGGAAAGGCATTATACAAAGTTCAGCCCAAGTGGTGTCACTTGCTTCCCAAGGACCTGATGTGGAACTCATGAGAAAACTGATCTTGGAGTCCATTGTTAACAAGCAGAACTGACAACAATTTCAGCTGTGATCTAAAGGCACCTATAGCAGTAGGGCACATCAGTAGAGTTATATGAGATCCAATATAAGTAATACCCTACCAACCTTCAGAAGTACTTGGAGGAGTACTTTGCAATTGGCTGAAGTTTCAAGATGAAGGTAAAAGCCCATGAAATCTATCATTTTTGTGACCATTTTTAATTCTCAGAAATCACTCTGTGTAAGATAGTCTGGCCCTGCAATTATCTTGCAAAGGTACTATGTTCAGCTTTTCAAGTCTGAGGTGACGGAGGTGGCAAGACATCTCAGAGCATGGCGAAATCAAGAGAGACTAACCAAGAGCAAGGATAGATTGTAGGGGAAGTGGAAAGGCAAGGCTCTTGCAGTCAATTGAGAGGATCGTATTTCAAGGGTCATGCAAATGATGAAACATTATTTTCATTGTCATCATGGGGCAATTTAGTTACCTTGGTACATAAAACTACTTTAACAACATTTGTGATGACTTTTTGCATCCCTTGGAGGATGGAAATTTTGTAAGAAAGACATGAAGCAACATAGATCTGAGAATTATCCAGTGGAAAATAAAACTAATCAATTAAGTGCATAGTTTTTACAAATTTAGTCACAGAGGATATCCGGGCAAGCAACAATACATGGTTTTTCAGATAAGTATTGAATTAGAAAAAAATAATTTCATTTTGCATTTGAGCTACCAGAAGGAAGTTTTTTCCTGGACATTTCCTAATATTTACTATATTCTATGTACCTGTTCCTAATCAGTTGCAGATAACTAAGTTTGCTTCTGAATTTTAATTGTAAGCAATCCATACATTTAGGTTATTGAATTAGGAAATCATGCTTTACGGATGTGTGTGTGTGTGTGTGTGTGTGTGTGTGAGACAGTGAGACGGAGAGACACAGAGAGACACTGCGACAGACACACAGAGCAAGAGAGACAGAGACAGAGAGAGAAGGAAAGAAAAAGAGACAGAGAGAGACAGAGAGACAGAGTATGAGATGCAGAGAAAGAGACAGGGACAGAGACACAGAGATACAGAGAGACACAAAGATGCAGGGAGAGATTCATGGGTAGTAAGTACTTTTTAAGATTTTTGTTATGATTTTAAAAGTAAAATATAGCATTTGAAAAGTGATGGAATCAGTGCATGAGCCCAAACTAACCATATTTCAAGGAAGCATGTAAAAAGCAAACTAGTATGTGTTGGCAGCTAACCCTAGTTTTCTGAATTCTGTATACTGGCATTTGGATATGAATCAAATGTACATTATGAAGTGAGTG